GTTAATAAATTATTGTTAAGTTTAAATTGTGTTATTGATCTTTGCTGGCATTTAGGGTTATTCTGACCCATAACAGAATTGGGGGCTCGTCTGGGATAAAGAATTTCTTGCACTTTTGCAGTTTATTGTCAGAATTTTGTTTATTGAACTGTTAAATTTGATTATAAGCCAGCAGAAATCAACATGGTGTTTTCGCTCACAGACTTTCTTAGTTCACCAAGTGTTCAGGTTTTTGATACGTTAAAAAAGGATGACTTGATTGCATTAGGTTTGCATTTTGGGTTAGATGTTAAATCCTCTCAGAGAAAGCAAGACATTAGAATTAAGGTTGCAAACAAATTAGTAGAAGAAAACGTCTTTGAAAAATACGATCTTCCAGAATGTACAGTTAAATCAGAGTTAGGCTCTTATTAAATGGCAGAATATCAGTTTCAAGTAGAGTTAGAGAAAATGCGATTTGAAAGAGAAAAATTAAAGAGAAGAGCGAGAAAGAGAAAGAGAAATAGAATAACGAGAGCGTGAACGAAAATTTGAATTAGACAAATTAGGAGCAGAAAAAAGAAGAGCGAGAAAGAGAGCGTGAAATGAAATTTGAATGAGAGAAATTAAAATTACAAAACCAACCAGAACCGTCAGTTGTCAAAACTGAATTTGACGCAGCAAAAAATATCAGATTAGTTCCAAAATTTCAAGAAAAATCTGTAGACAAATATTTTCCCCAATTCGAAAAAGTCGCAGAGAATCTTAAATGGCCACAAAATGTTTGGTCAACAATGTTACAAAGTGTACTGGTTGGCAAAGCAGCTGAGGTATACTCTGCACTAGGGGTAGCTGAAAGTTAGACTATGAGAAGGTCAAAGCAGCAATATTAAAAGCATATGAATTAGTACCTGAAGCATATAGACAAAAATTCAGAAAGTATAGGAAGTTTGATAATCAAACATTTGTTGAATTTATTCGATCACTGGTTTAGATCTAAGAAACTTGATAAAACTTTTGCTAATTTGCGCCAAGTCATCCTGGTTGAAGAGTTTAAGGAATGTGTTCCTCAAGATTGAAAACACATTTAGAAGATAAGAATGTGAAAACTCTTGAAGAGGCAGCAGTCATATCTGATACTTCTGCTCTGTCTCATAAAAAGAATTTTGTATCAAGATCTTAGACTAGCAGTAATTCTACCAATTCAGAAACATATAAAAAGAGTGGTTCAGGGTCTCAGTCTTCCACAAGTCTCCAGTCTCCATCACAGGGTGGTTCTAAGTCCGGTCCAGGACATTTTGAAGGATCTTCTGGAATAGGGTCGCTTCCAACTTGTAGTTATTGTAAGAAAAAAGGTCCACTGATCAGTGAATGCTTTAAACTTAATAGAAAAAATGATTTTGATAAAAATCAACCACACGCTTGTGCGGCAGTTAGAGGTGAATTCTGTTACCAAAACTGATTCATATCCAATACCTAGAATCGATGACTGTATTGACAACATTGGAAACGCGAAATTTGTCAGTAAACTTGACCTGTTGAAAGGCTACTGGCAAGTACCGTTAACAGAAAGAGCAAAAGAAATATCTGCTTTTGCTACACCAGATGGACTTTACCAGTATAAAGTAATGCCTTTTGGCATGAAAAACGCACCCGGGTACATTCCAAAGGATGATTCACTCCCTTCTTCAAGACCTTGAGGGATGCAGCCTCATTGATGATTCGTCATATACAGCAACACATGGGACAAAAATTGAATCATGCGTGCTTTATCTGACATTTAAGCTAAAGTAAACTTAACTGTGAACCTTGAGAAGAGCGAATTTTGTCATGCTTATGTAGAGTATTTAGGCCATAAAGTAGGTCAAGGTTATGTTACACCCATTATGGCTAAAGTGGAAGCTATTGCAAAGTTCCCGATTCCTACAAACAAGAAAGAATTAATGAGGTTTTTGGGCATGGCCGGGTTTTACAGAAAATTTTCCAAATTTTTCCTCAGTTGTTAGTCCACTTACAAATCTTTTACAAAAGAGGGTTAACTTTGAATGGACAAAGGACTGTGAAAATCCTTCATAAATCAAAATTTTCCTTTTGAGCAATCCAGTTCTGTCAACTCCAGATTTTTCTAAGCAATTTAAGCTTACCGTTGACGCTGTGATGTTTAATGGGGCAGCTTTGTTTCAAGAACATAGTGATAAGGTAGATAGAGTTGTTTCTTATTTTTCAAATAAACTTACAAAATGTCAACAAAAGTATTACACCATTGAAAAGGAATGCCTTGCTTTGTTGTTAGCCTTACAGCATTTTGATGTTTATCTGAATGTTACTTTGCATCCAATTCTTGTGTATACTGATCACAACCCCCTGACATTTTTGCATAAATTGTCAAACAAGAATCAAAGACTGACTAGATGGAGTTTGTTGTTACAAGATACAATATAACAATAAAGCATATCAAAGGCAAAGACAATGTTTTACAATCCTTGTCAAGAGTATTTGTAAATATCTAGATTTTTATTAATGTACCTATGTTTTAATAATATAAGTTTTCATTGACATTCAAACTTTTTAGGGGGGGGGTGTTGTGATATGTGTAATGTTTCATTATGTATATAATTAGTAACATTAAGTTTCTTGAACATTCCAGAGTGGTCAACATGTGGTATTTATCTAAACATTCTTAAATTTTGTGTATTCAGGGGTTGTTCCAGTAATATATGTTTTAATAATTTCTAGAATATTCTAGATTTTGTCTGTATAAATACCCTGTATTCATCTAAAAAATCTATACTATAATTTTTATAAGTAACATTGATGTACAGGTGTATAAAGAGACTGGGATATAATTTCACTGGACATTGTGTGCAGCAACGGACACTCTGATGTACGTATTTTTAGATTCTTGCTTAGTTTGTACTTTTTATTTGTATATATTAATGTTAATAAATTATTGTTAAGTTTAAATTGTGTTATTGATCTTTGCTGGCATTTAGGGTTATTCTGACCCATAACAAAAGTCCGAAATATCAGACGTTTTCCTGGTTTGTTAACGATTTTGATGCAGGGAAAAAATCAAAATCGTAAAAAGCCCGAAAACGTAGATAATTCGGACTGTATATTTACTGCGACAAGACCTTCCTTTATAGACAATTTGTCCTTGGAGTAACCCCTACTTCTGAAAAAAAATTATGAAAGTCATTACTTTTTAATAGTTGATGCTATGGCTTTAATAATTTACAAGTGTATTCAGGGACATGGCAACGGGGGTTCCCCCAAAATTTCCTTTACTATTGAAAATGTCTATTGAAAGGTTGGTTGCCCCCCCCCCCCCCCCCTTCTTACCATAGTATAATGATATCAAGGATATGTAGTATTGTATGGGAAAAATTGTAAGTGAAAGGAAATTGGTTTGAAAAAAAAGTTAGCCACTAACCCCCCCCCCCCCCCGCCCCCCACTTTCAAAAACGATGCTACGTGCCTGGTATTCCTTATGAGAAGACTACCCCTGGTACATGTACCTTTACTTGATACTTAGACTTTGGAATTTAACCCATATTAAAAATAACGTTAACCTAGGTCATAAATTTTGAATGATCTTGGGGTTTCATATTTCACAGGGATATTCTTTGTCCTTTCATTGGGTTACAGCACTGACTTTGACCTTGGAAGTTTAATTTGCATTTGAAAATGTTAAAATAATTTTGATTTCTTTGAAATTGAGATAACCACAAATTTTTTATAAAGTCAATGAAAAGGTAAACGTAAAGTTGATGCACTTGCATAGCTCTCATCAATATGTATATCCTTGTATATGAAGTTTGCTAAAAATATCTTGAATAACTCATTTGAAACTTAGCTAAATGCATAGTGTGATGGAAGGACAAGGACGGGAAGATGGAGGACATAACAAACACTATATGTCTTAGCCATATTCATGGAGGAGCAATTAAAAATGTCTTTGTATGTTCGTAGGGGAATTGTTGTTGTAGCAATTTTTTTCTACAACAAAAATAGAACATTTATTATTCCCTTAACCTTAAAGGGAAAATGGAGACTTTTAACAATATATGGTATCTTATAATCTAGTGACTCTGTAACAAGTATATGGTCAAGATTACTTTATGCAAAATTATTATCAGTCCACAACTTTTATCGAAACACATGCTCTTAGCAAACACATGGATGAGTTAGGACCTTGAACTTTGAATTTTGCTCAGAATATTTGCATCCATCTCTTAAAAGGTTCACATTTCCTATCTCACACATTTATTTCTGAAATATCTCTGATTTTTTGGTTACCTCCTAAATTTATAAAAGAAAAATGGAGACAATTTTCATAATTCATTAATGTGTCTGTGAGAATATTGTACACAGGGTTATTTTGCCCCTAGGCTGTCTTATTTTCACCCTTTCATTGACGATTTTTGCAATTTTTGATACAATTGTTACATTTGTAGCGTTGTAAAACAAATGCAAGTTTTCATAATTCCTCTATTCTGTTGGTAGCCTTACTAGCAAAAGTAAAAAAAAAAAAGAAATAGAAATTGCATTTTACAATTAATGTATATATTTTATTTATAATATTCAAACCAACTGTCAGTGTTTGGCTGCTTTGGGAGCTACTGGTACTCGGACAGGTGGACAGAGTTCTTGACAACTCACAGACTCCCCATCTTTAGTTTCCATGACAATACTGATTTCCACATTGGACTGATCTGAAAACACAAATTTTAACAATAATTTATATACTCTTACAAATGAATCTTCATGAAAAGGGCATATTTCGTCATATTGTTAACAATTTTTTGCTACAAAAAAGATTTTTTATAGTTGCAAAATTTGTAATTTGAAAAAGATATTCCTCAGTGATGTACCTCTGTGTTTTTTTTTCTTTAGTTTTTGAAATATATTTTTTCTACAGACAATAGTTTGTGATAAACCGAATGTTCCCAAAGAAAGATAACTCTGACATCCTTACCTGACCACAGAGAGTGAGAGATGATGACCTGAGAGACTAACTTATGATGGAGCGGAAACGAGCTTTGTGAAATGATTCTTCTGTGGAATGATGAGATAACTCTTCTGGTCAGGATAGTGAATCTGTTATTGAAAATATTTATATTTTTATAGAATAAATTATATCAAAAATACTGCCCCTGGGGTGGTAAACTAATCCTTCAGACTTTATATCCAACATATCACTTTTTAACTTTTACATATTACTGTATTACTTTTTCAATATAAAAGTATTTTACAACAAATTTGAAATTTAATTTGATCATTAAACAATAGCAACAGATCTACATCAGATTGAAAATGATTAAAAACAAGAAACTTTTTACAAACTAACCTTTAATCTGATACTTCCAGGGTTTTGGACATTTTCTACCGTAGCGTGAACCGGAATGGTGACGGTTAAACCGGCCCGTGAACCGGACTGGGTTATCCGAGGAGCCTGTCGGTTCATGCATAATGGCCGTCACCTTCCTGATACAGGTGTTCTGCAGGACTATTCCACAAGGTGCTATGTTCTTCACAGCGTGTTGTAGATGTTTAAGAATGTCTGATATCTTCCCATTCTCCAAGTCATTAAGTACAGAGAACAGATACACAAAGCAGGGATCTGGTGATAGCTCATTGGAATCCAAAAATCTGGAAAAAATTTTTGATTACAATTTACATGTATATTAACTTTCTTAACTTTCATTTTTCACTCTTAAATAATTTAATTTCAGTTGTAACGCATCATTTGATTGGTTTAACGGTTTTATCAATTTTGTATAGCGTAACATAACTTGCCTCCGTCACAATGAGTTACGTCAAAAACGTGCCTAGCTCCGCTTGACTTTTAAAATAATGCTCACTCTGAAGCCTTTTTCTAGAGAAAATAGTGTCTCAGCGTCTACATTGAAATTAAATTATAAGAAATGAAGCTTATTTCAACTTATGTTATCCGATATAACAAAACTTGAGCCAGTTTATGCTTATTTATAAACCGCTTCGCAGTTTATAAAGCATAAACTGCAAGTTATGTTATATTGGATAACATAAGTTGAATAAGCTTCATTCCTTAAGTATAATGCAAACTACACAGAGAATTTACTGCTACAACAGGCCTTTAATAGATCACTTTAATTCATTGACTGACAAAAATGGGGTATAGAATAATTATTAATTCCACCATATCTCAGAAAAATATACTGAATTTCAGGATTAATTGGTATTAATGTACACAGTTTTATGTGAATAGGCATGGATAGAATGTATAATTTTAAATCATTCAATTCATTTGTATTTTTTTTAAACAAAAGTGGATGCTCTATCTGAGGAGTGCCCCACCCTTATATTTTTATACCCCTTAATTTTGTCATTAGGATTAGAGCATTTGTATTGGCTTGTGAATGCAAGTGAAATAAAGCTTATGCTCTGGATGTAATTAAAGAATTACATTTTGTTAGAATATCTGTACTTTTAATTTTAATACAATAAGTGAGCAGCTTTCACCGTCACAATCTTAGACTATTAAAGCTGCACACACATATCCTGTAATCACCTGTTGTTGTGTAATTAAAAGTACAACGTACTCTTTAACTAGCCTTTGTCTGGCACACTAACTTATTGTACTGAATGTACTGAGATTTGTGAGTGGGTACACATACAAGCCATTTTTAGTACAGAAATGAATGAGAAAGATTAATTCAGTTAAGACTTATTGACAATCAGTGCGTCATTTTTCGTACTTGAAGCTGATACATTTGAAGATTTTGAATACTCACTTTTTGAAAGCATATGTAACCATGCACTTTTGGATTTTCATATACTCACTCGTGCAAACTTATTTTTTAATAGAGCTTGTAGTTCTTATTGGTTGTTGAAAACTCACATTTTGAGAGCATGTAGGCCATATTGATTTTGACATACCCTGGTACTTACTTTTTCAGAGCTTGTAGGCCATATTGATTTTGACACACCCTGGTACATACTTTCTGAGTGCTTGTTGGCCATATTGGTTTTGACATACCCTGGTACTTACTTTTTGAGAGCTTGAAGCCCATATTGATTTTGACACACCCTGATACATACTTTTTGAGTGCTTGTTGGACATATTGATTTTGACATACCCTTGGTACATACTTTTTGAGTGCTTGTTGGCCATATTGATTTTGAAAATTAAACCCTGGTACATACTTTTTGAGAGCTTGTTGGCCATATTGGTTTTGACATACCCTGATACGTACTTTTTGAGTGCTTGTTGGCCATTTTGATTTTGACACACCCTGGTACGTACTTTTTGAGAGCTTGTTGGCCATATTGGTTTTGACATACCCTGGTACCTACTTTTTGAGAGCTTGTTGGCCATTTTGATTTTGACACACCCTGGTACATACTTTTTGAGTGCTTGTAGGCCATATTGATTGTGACACACCCTGGTGCATACTTTTTGAGTGCTTGTAGGCCATATTGGTTTTGACATACCCTGATACGTACTTTTTAAGAGCTTGTTGGCCATATTGATTTTGACACACCCTGGTCCAGATCTTTGACAAGAGCCTGCAGCTGCTCCAGATAGGTTTCCTTCGCTTTACTACACCTGGTGGGGTCGGCCTTCATCTTTGTTAAGATCTGCAGTGTACAGGCTTTGAGACTTGTCTGTTGAATCAGAGAGTATTCTGTGCTGCTGACCCCAAGGTAAAGATGCTGCAATCTCTTTGTCAATCCCAAATCTAGTAAAGAAAGAAAGTCAAAAATAGAAACATGCCATTGTAATTGCTTGCAGTTGCCATTTACAAACACTTGGTAATGCAAAATTTATACAGTAGTCCCTTGTATCTAGAAACAAGTTCAAAATAATAATCTATACTAAAGCCACAGAGGAGAATTTTCTATCGTTATACCATAATTGTTGAATCTAATTTATTCTTACGAAGTTTTATTGGGTTTGTGTTATTTAATATTGCAAACTTCATAAACAGATCTAACCAATATGATTACTGTATACAGGGTTATTTTCGCCCCGTGTTATTTTCGCCCTTTTGAACTTGTGAACAATTTTGCTCCATTTTAAATTCGCCCAGTCAAAGCTCTGAGGTGTAATTTGAATTTGCCCCGTTTTAAATTCGCCCAATCAAGGAGAGGGCGAAAGGGGCGAAAATAAAACGGGGGCGAAAATTTCCCTGTGTACAGTACATCTTCCTAATTTTTACAGACCCTCATGAATTCTTCAAAAATCTTAACTCCAACTAGAAGAATAGAAAGCTAGCTCAAAAAAATGACACATAAGTTAAATATTGAAGTGAAACATGAACATCAAATATTTTTTTTTAAAACATAAAAGACCTGACCAGAATTCTTGATACTTTTTCTGCCCATGAACTTGAAGTTGCAACAATGGTTATGACATACTCTTAGCTCACAGGTAATTTTCGTTTTGAGTTTCAACTTTTAATAAATTTATACTTTTTCTGACAGTGACCTTGACCTTGCCAGAAAGACAATGAGACAAGGTCAAGGCATAAGTAAAATTGGTGTTAAGTCTCAAGTAATAGTTGTGTGAAAGTATAAACCTACAAATGTTTATCCATTAAAAATTTACAGATGGGGCACTAAATTCGTCTTTCCTACTGCTTATGACCTTGAACTTGCCAAAATGACCTTGAGGAAGATCATGATATATCCTTCAATCACATGCAATCTTTGTGTGAAGTTTCAACTTCCCATTAGCCTCCATTTGAGAATCATAGAATCACATAAAACATTTTGTCAGTGACCTTAACTTCCTGGAATGAATTTCAGTTATAATCAAAACATACCCTCACATCAAAACGCAAAATTTGAAGATAAGTAAGAGCTTCTTAGGTTCTCTATCACAACATTTGTCAAGGACAGGAATTAAACATTTATCTAAAAATAACCTTGAACTTTCTCAAATGAAACTGGGTCAAGATAAATCTTTGGTCATAAACAATGTTTGAACAATTTATGCACTTTCAATGTTTCTCCATCAAGAAGTTGTAAACCACAGAAGAATTTATACTTTTTAGTGATTGACACTGAACTTGCCAGAATGACCATGATTCAAGGTTGTAAAAAAACCCTAAGAATCTTTGTACAAAGTATGAGCTTTTAAGAACTTTCCATTACACAATTATAACACAGACAAAATATTTAGTATTTTTTGTAACTGAGACTTAGACATACAAGAATGACTTTGGGTCAAGGTCACACAAGTCAAAAACAATCTCTGTACCATGTATGAGCTTCCAAAGGTTCTCCATAATAAAGTTATAATACGGACAAGATTGTGACAAGAGACAGTTTGTCAAACGATATGCTCCCCAAACTTTGTTAGCAAGGGGTATAAAAAATCAGATAATATTAGATACTAAAATTCATATCACATGTTGATCATATCAGCCAGACTTGCCCCATATCAGTCTGAGTGCAAAAAGCAGTTAAGGACACTACACTACCTGGAATAAGTTACCTGGTCAATTAAGGACAACACCTGGTTATCTGCTATGCTGCTACTACACTGCACTCCTTGCTGACTCATCAACTGAAAAATTACAGGCCATTTTATCAATTTTAATTTGGGTTGTGCATTTATAAACACATTCTTACAAGTAGCAAGTGTCAAGAAGTACAAAGACAAAGAAGACAAGGCCAACATGTATCAACAAGAGGCCCATGGGCCACATCGCTCACCTGAGAAGCTTTGACCATTCTGTTCTTTACCAGATTTCCCCCTTTTAATACATATTGCAACCACACCCTACCCCACTGATCATAATTTAGACATTTTGAAATCTCACACTACCACAGGATGCTTCCATGTGCACATAAGTTTCAGCTTTTCTGGCCCAGTGGTTCTTGAGAAGAAGATTTTCAAAGATTTTCATATAATTTCTATGTAAAATTTTTATTTCCCATTGTGGCCGCGCTCTTACCCCCGGGGGTCATGATTTGAACAATTCAAAATCTACACTACCCAGGATGCTTCTACATAAGTATCAGCTTTTCTGGCCCAGTGGTTCTTGAGAAGAAGATTTTCAAAGATTTTTCCTATATCTTTCTATGTAAAACTTTGATTCCCCATTGTGGCCCCCCCTCCCAGGGGGTCATGATTTGTATTATTTAGAATCTACACTATCCCAGTATGCTTCCACTTAAGTTTCAGCTTTTCTGGCCCAGTGGTTCTTGAGAAGAAGATTTTCAAAAAATTTTCCTATATATTTATATGTAAAACTTTGATTCCCCATTGCTGCCCCACCCTACCCCCGGGGGTCATGATTTGAACAATTTAAAATCTACACTACCTCAGGATGCTTCCACACAAGTTTCAGCTTTTCTGGCTCAGTGGTTCTTGAGAAGAAGATTTTCAAAGATTTTTCCTATATATTTCTATGTAAAACTTTGATTCCCCATTGTGGCCCGCCCTACCCCCAGGGGTCATAATTTGTATAATTTAGAATCTACACTATCCCAGTATGCTTCCACATAAGTTTCAGCTTTTCTGGCCCAGTGGTTCTTGAGAAGAAGATTTTCAAAGATTTTTCCTATGTATTTCTATGTAAAATTTATTCCCTTGTGGCCCCACCCTACCCGGGGGTCATGATTTGAACAATATACAATCTACACTACCCAAGAATGCTTCCACATAAATTACACCTTTCTGGCCCAGTGGTTCTTGAGAAGTAGATTTTCAAAGATTTTTCCTATATATTTCTATTTAAAACTTTGATTCCCTATACTGGCCCCGCCCTTCCCCCGGGGGTCATGATTCCTACAATTTAGAATCTACACTACCCCAGTATGCTTCCACATAAGTTTCAGCTTTTCTGGCCCAGTGGTTCTTGAGAAGAAGATTTTTAATGACCCCACCCTATTTTTGTCTTTTCTTGATTATCTCCCCTTATGAGGGGACTTGGCCCTTCATTTTAACAATTTAAATTCCCCTTCACCCAAGGATGCCTTGTACCAAGTTTAGTCAAAATTGGCCCAGTGGTTCTTGAGAAGAAGTCGAAAATGTGAAAAGTTTACAGACGGACGGACGACGGACAAAATGTGATCAGAAAAGCTCACTTGAACCTTTGGCTCAGGAGAGCTAACTAACATTCGATCCCTTTCAATGAAATAAATTATGTTGTTTGCTGTGATCTGAATTGTTCTTTTGAAGTGAGTTGGTTGGAAAGTTATTTTTTTAGTTCATAACAAAATCAGGATTTAATATTGTTATTGTTCTGACTAACCCCCCCTCCTCCAGGAATTCTAAAAGCTGACTTGGTAAGATCTCAAAGTCAGAATAATTGCCAAATGTAGTTTTGTCTAGACTATTCAATATGGCCACCACTGCAATGGAAAAGGAGGTAAGACAGCTCAAAGTGACATGCAGTTTTGCTTTTAATCAGGAATTGGGTCTGGAAATTAAGGTTAGGCACTTACCGGTAAATATTTTTTTTCAGCAGTGGGTACTCTGGACCTAGACCACCTTAAAGTTCCTGAATTTCAGTGAATTTAAGGGGGGACCTATGTCCGAAAAGTCTTTGTGTGAAATTTTCAAAACTTTGACATCTCTTCCTGACCACTTGCTTATAATTTTTAGGTATTAAAAACAATACCTTTATATGCTTATTTTTACACAGGAGCACGTGCAAAAACAGTGTGAAATGCTAAAAAATAGATTATTTTCAGACATTATTGTTCTACTCCAAATATGCGCTAAAAAGAACCAAAAATGTCAGATCACATTCGAAATCAACATGTATTTAATTTATGACTTGTATCTTTAAAATGAAGGCAAATTCATTGTAATTCATCTCGCATGAAAAATTATAAAAGAGCACAATGTAAGTATCACCCCGTTTTTCTTGTCGTATTTTTTACAATTCCGACATGCATAACAGGTAATATCTTAAAAAGTTTTTGTGTGAAAATGTTGTAATTAATATTTTATGAAAGAAATGACCCCTCTTTTTATTTTAACAAAGAAAAAAGTATACCTTTATGATAAAATAAACAAGAAATATGACGTTTTATTTTATTTTTGTACTCTTCTGTCATAAATATTGACCTTTCTGCACTAAAAAAAAGGTAAGTTAGCACTGACAAACATCTGAATATAAAAACTATTTTGCAAAAAACGAGTATTTTGTTTTGATAACAATTCTAATCATTCTGCCCCCCCCCCCCCTTTTCCCCGTCAACAACCAACACCTAATAGAACCTAGGAATGACTTTATACAATAAAATCTACATACACTATTAATCAATATGTAAATATAGGTACAAGTACATTTCTTAATTATACCCGCACTTTCGAAAGAAAGTTCGGTATTTGTTGTTACTCATGTCCGTCCGTCCGTCCGTCCGTCCGTGTTTACGAGAGTGCATTTATTGGGTATTTTTTATGCCAAGATTGTTCTTATTGGGTACTTTTTGCTTATTGGGTATACCCAATAAGAAGTGTCGCTGAATATGCTTAAAACACCCTAATTGGGTATTTGCAGGTTAGTACCCAACAAAACTTGGACACGACGATTTGTCCAAAAAAGTGTCCAAAAAAGTTGCTTTCACGGACGCACCGTGTTTTGTGTTTCAGTTTTACATTCGGAACTCTAAATTCTGAGAGTTCCGAAAATAACTTCCGTTGATCCTGATCATAACAACGTTTGTTTTCATGGAAAAAAAATATGGGGGACTAAGAAACACTTAATGTCAACAAGAT